TATAATTTCTAGTTCCCGTGCTCTTATTCGAAAGGAGTAAATATATTCTACAAATTTGAAAATAAATATATAAGTAAATAAAAAAGGTTAGAGTAAGTTCCTCCTTCGTGTACACCTATTTTGGCATCTACTGACGAACAGAAGTTTGGCATAACCTTACCTAGGGTGAACATTCTATGGTTCATTACATGCATGATTTTGGCTCTAGTAAGGAAAATGTACTCGAATTGTCCTTGTCGTCGATGCCCCTTGGGTTGCCCAACCATCTATCCTAACCCATTATAGGCATAAACAGATTGAGTTCAATTCTAGGGGATACACTTCCTTACACCTATACGAGGGATAAACCCCTACGAAGGTATAAGGTATGTGTACCCCAGGGGTTATTTGCTAAAACTCATACGAAGAATAAATTCTTACGAGAGTAAAGCGTTCACCCCTACTTATTTGGGACAAGGCTCGGATATAGAGCTCATGTCATGCAAATGTCGTGATGTGTGTGATGAGAAACATACAAACCTTTGACCAAAAAATAAAATGCTCTCGAAATAAACTTTGACAACGCTAAAAACATGAATAAAAACATTAGTAAGATAAATAAAAAAATAGAGAAATTAGATAAAAACTTCAATAAATGGATCATAAGCTATATAAATACTCAAACTCAATTTTCACAACTATGACAATGTATAAGCGATTGACGGCTTGACTCTCTAAAACAAGTCCCTAGTAGAGTCGCCAAGCTATCATAACATTTTAAAAAAATGAAGAGGTTTCTCAATTTTAAATAAAAACCCTAATTTACGACTTATTTTAGAAATTTTGAAATTTTGATTTGATTTGATTAATTTGAATCGGAGTCACAATCGACCTTTGAGTTAGGTGGGTTGAATACCTAAAAACATCAAAAAATATTTTTAAAACAAAAATTGGTCTGCGTTTATCAAAGATTCATTTTAGGTTTGGGAGTCGATTATGCGTGGGGAAGGGTTAACACCCCACAACGTCCAAAATTGGTACCTAGTCACTTATACATTGTCGTAATGGTGGAAATGGTAAATTTGCATCGAAAATTAAAGTACACTCCTTTTATTGATTATTGGTTAATTTATTTTGAATTAATTATTAAAGAACACCCCTTAAATTGAGAAGAAAACATAGGATTTGCACATCCTCCAATGGGAAGGTTATTCCATCTATTTCTCCTCTATACGAGAAATGTCCTCTCCTCTATATTATCAAGCGAATCACAAAATCGAATATAAATTGAATATCAAAGATTGCATAAAATGGCATAACATGCTATTAAAAAAATTATTATTATTAAAATAAAAGAATGAATTAATTATTTTTTTTTACCAAAAGAAGCTTGATTTATTTCTGGTTCACTTTTCGTCCGAATGTCGTACCGAATTACACTACTTCGATCAAACAGTGCTTTCCACGCCCATTCTACGACGAATATTCTTGAAAATATTCTAGTGAAACAATTATAGCAAATTAGTATCACCTATATAAAAGATATAAAAACATATTGATAAGTGGATATTTTATAAGCTAAAATGTCATAAATAAACTTAGTAATATATAAATATACAAAGGTTAAGAAATATTAAATGAATATATACATATATAATATGTTATAATATAACGTACATAAATAATAATGATAATAATAATGATTATAATAATAATAATAATAATAATAATAAAACATTTATAATATTACATACATGGTAAAAATGAAAAGAAACAAAATAAAATTATGCAATAATTAAATAATTTAAAAAAAAAAGAATGATAAGGACAAAGATAAAGCTAAACAATAAAGAACAAAATCATAAAAGAGACAGAGTGATAAAGCTTAAATATGTAGCAAACCCGTGAAATCTCACTTAGAAAACTAAAAGCAGTGACCAAAAAGAACTCAAATTAAAAGCTAAGATAAACATTTATCTTCTAAAATAGTGCTTAACGACTAAAATAAAAGACAAGAAAGTTTAAAAACCATATCATAAATATAAATAAATTCACTAATGTACAGATAAGGATCAAAATAAACTAAATCATAAATCATTAGCCAGAAATAGATATTAAACCAAATATATATTAAGGGGCATGACTAAAATGCAAATACAAAGAAATTCAAGGCTCGAATCAAGAGAAAATAATTTCATTCAATGACCAAAACGTAACTCTTACAAACTTGGAACCCTCCTCACGTGATTAACCCATGCGCTAAACGCAGGGAACCCTAACACCAAAATGACGTCATTTCGTTAGGTGGTTATAAAGCACATTTTAGGTTAAAAAAACTCATTTCATTTTGCACACCCCCTCTACCGTCGTTCTTCCCTAAAACCCTCTCTCTTTATTTTCTTCTTCAACGGGGAGAGGGGAAAATAACCCCACGGCCGTCGTTCGCGTGGCCATTCCCCCCACGGTCGAAGACCAACACCAGCGAAGGGTAAGCCAAACCCAAAAGCAACTAACCAATATTTCCTAAACAACTTTATAATGAATAGGCTTAAAGATGATTATCATTGAAAAGAAAATGTCCCTTTTTTCGACGAAGGCTCGACGAGAGCTTTCGAAGAGAAGGTAAGATTTTCTCCTTTTTTCTTTTTTCATTGTTGTTTTCGATTATTCTCGAATGGTTGCTGTTGAATCTTTTTTTCAAAAATGGTTTTTTTGTTTTCAGTTCAAATGTTCCTTCTCTGTTGTTCAAATATGTTGCTGATAAAATCCTACTTTTGGACCGGTTCCCCCTTTTGGTTGTTTCATGTCAGTTTTATAGTGCTTTTTGGGTGAAAACAGTGAGCTCCTTAGTAGAGGAATGATTTCCCCACACTTGAGAAGATAATATCCCATATTCTAGGGATTTAACTCATTTTTAATGGGTTTTATATTTTGGTTATTTTTTGACTGATTTTGTGTATTTGGTTCACTGTTTTGCCGGATTTGCTGACGACGGCAGCTTGGGAGTCATCAGAGGTGGCTCACGCGGTGGGGAAGTCGAAGGGTTGGTGTGTGCACCACACGCGTGCCATCGAACGATCCCTCTTTACTAGCGGTAGCGGTTGGTAACAAGTTAGGGTGAAACCCTATTTTTTTATGCATCTGGGCCTTTGATCTTCATCTTGATCCGACGGTGGAGATTAGGTGGCTACCTCATAATATGATAAAGCCCTAATCTGATTGGACTTTCATCCTTGGGCCTACTGGGTCACATGTATTTTGGCTCCTCTTGTGGACTTTGTAACCTATGTAAAAAAACATTGATTAATAAAAATGTATATATTATTTACTTTTATATATATATATAGATATATATTATTTTTATAAATTTATCTATTATAACAATTAACATTAACTAATAAACAATTAATTTATTATTAATTAATAATAATATATAAAATAAAACTTAGACAAAAAAATGGTGTCTACAAATATTATTCATTTCATTGTGTACTAGTTCAAGATACATTTACTTAAGATGCTAATCTCACTATTGCTCTTCTTGCGATTTAATCAAAATGATATTCAATTTTCAAAAGAAAATTTTTTTCGCATTAATGGGATAATATTGGTAATATTTAAAGAAATCAAAGGCATGTAAATCCCAAATTGGGTAGGAAAAAACTTCTAGATGAGTTTATAAGAAGCATTTCGTTACCTATTTTGTGGAGTGTAGAGTGACAAGATCTTTGTACATGCTTCTTCTTGTTGTTTTTCGATTGATTTAGCTCGTTTTCATGTTTGTGTAATTATGTCTTGACACCGTACCACAGGCATATTATTTTTTAAAAGAAAATATGTAAGAATTTTTTAAACCTGAAAACATCTGTATTTATAGACATGAATATCCAACTATTACATTTTTTATCCAGCATTAGTTGCAGCTTTTATAACTTTTATCCAACATTAGTTTGAACTATTATAGCCCTTTATTGCATCAACTGTTTGAAATCATCCCACAACATATCTTCCTAAGTAAAAAATATCACCACATCGTCTAGTGCAACGATTAAATCAATCAAGATAAAATTATTTCTAAAGATAATAGTTTACCACGACACAATATCCTAATTCATTTTCGATTAATTTATCTTTTTGTCTTGTAAATGGTAACGTCTGTTTTTGCGGTATTAATTTTACCAACACTCGTACCATCAAACGTTGCTGAGAATCGTTTATTGCATATCCAAATCGTCCGAACAAACAATCCCAAGCCATCAATCACCATTGTCACCACTAGCGCCATCTTCAAGGGGTTATAAATGAAACTCGGGAAAAGTGTCATTTATATTGATGGGATCTCTCTCTTTCATGTTATAAATGAGACTTTGACAACATCAATTGCAACTGAAGAAAAAAAAAAGGTTTATTAGTAGATAAGGCCATTTTCCTGCTCAATGATTTATTTGTTATATCAAACGACAGCATGATCTGCATTTTGAAAGCATGTGGCTAATAGAGCTTTATTTATCTTTACTTATTTTGTTATCTAATAACCAAAAGAGAGTAAAATTCACTTTCATGGATGCTATCTGCAATTTAAGAGCACGAACATAAGGATGCCATTCAAGTCCAATACGGTTGCAAATGTATTTTATACAACCTCAATTCTACCATCTGGGATTGTTAACCACATTAGGGTGGGCCAATTGAGTACACTTTTAGCTTGTTGCACGGAGTTTCTTTCATCATTCTTGATTCATATTTGTTTTGAACGCCAATTTCTTGGCTAGGAAGATCACATCTTGTAATGATTTTTTAATACTAATCACGTTAACTTGACTGTTACTTCATTGATGGTTAAAAAAAACATGCTGATTGGCAAAATCGTCCTACGCTTTGTACTTATTACATGTAGGAAAAACCTTGATTAAGAGGAGCTTGCAAGTTGCATCCTCCTATTTCAAAAGTAGACTACTGCAGAACATGTAAAAGTTACATGTAACATAAAAGAAATGTCATCTCCAGCACCAGCAAAACAAGAGAGCAAGAACGGGAGGCATCGTCACAACTCATGCTAGATTACGAATCAGTAGTATTCATCAAGGAAAAACAACTATCTCAACAGCTTCAAGTGATTGGTCTATACCTGTTGCCCAGAATGTTTGCTTAACTGAGCCAGAAAACGAAGAAGGAAGAAAGGAGATTAGATGACTGAAAATGCCACCAAGATCATGATTTTTCAAACTTGGGATTTACCTGCATCTCTCTAGCCATTGAAGGTAGCCACCTCTCTCCTCTAATCTTTTTCAGTTGTGCAATTCTGGCTTCTTCTTTCTTGGCCTTTTCTTTAGCTGCTGCAGCTTTAGCTTCGAATCTAGCTAATGCTTTCTGGTTTGCATCTCTTGCAGCAGCCAATATATCTTTTCCATCGACAGCTATAGACCGTAGTTGTCGTCTAAACTGCATGCCACAATGACAGACAGATATACATTAAGAGGGATTCATCCAAAGTGAATAGGGAAAAGAAAAGAGTTAACAGAAACAAAAGAGATGTCCGAACAACAAGTGAACCTCTTTCGAGTTCTCATCAATCCCTCTTCCAGGAAGGATTTTTGGTTTCTTTCTGGGTCCTTGAATTTCATCTGATAGCAAATAAATAATTCAAATACTTAAAATACCACAACTTATAACTCTTACCAAGAACTAACTCAGGCGAGAAAACCAAATGCACAAACATATTGCCATATCAACACCAATCTATTATAAATCATCAATTCATCTGATATCCTGTAACAAAAGTTCAGATTTCTTCAAAACTGATAATAGAATCCATGAGAAAAGTTTGATTTGTTGTCGATAAAGGCTTCCCCTATTTTTCCATTCACTAAACTCTGAATCCAGAATAGAACACTTAAAATAATTCAAATACTTAAAATGCCATAACTTATAACTCTTCCAAGAACTAGCTCAGACGAGAAAACCAAATGCACAAATACATTGCCATATTGGCACCAGTCTATCATAAATCATCAATCTATCTGATATCCTGTAACAAAAGTTCAAATTTATTCAAAACTGATAATAGAATCCATGAGTAACGTATCATTTGTTGTCGAAAAAGGCTTCCCCTATTTTCCCAGTCACTAAACTCTGAATCCAGAATCGAACACTTAAAATAGTTCAAACACATAAAATACCATAACTTATAACTCTTCCAAGAAAACCAAGTGCACAAACACATTGCCATATCAACACCAATCTATCATAAATCATCAATTCATCTGATATCCTGTAACAAAAGTTCAAATTTTATTCAAAACTGATAATAGAATCCATGAGAAAAGTTTCATTTGTTGTCGAAAAAGGCTTCCCCTATTTTCCCATTCACTAAACTCTGAATCCAGAATCGAACACTCGATACTGATATACTAGCAACAGAGACAAGGAACAGGTTGAAACTTGAAAAAAAGCAAATTGTAAAATGTTCTCTTAAATGCAGCAAGAGATGACAATGAGCGAAAAACACACTCACCTACAAGGTCAAATACTATCCCAGGAGCAGAATTTTTAAATAAACGAACCCCACTTTCAATTACCAAACTATCATCATCTGGAACATTACAGTCCTTCACAATCAGCAAGTTCTTCTCTAGCATCTCATCCAAAAGCTTTTGTACCTGCTTATGACTTTAAACAGTTAGCAAACATAACAATACAGGACAAGTACAATCTGGACTCGAAACTTGACATGGAATCTAAAAGTTCATATTTTTTAAGTTGATATTAATACAATTATTCACAAAAATTACCCACATAAGCTAATGCTAAAAAAATGAAGATAGAAACATGGAAAAAACTTGGGAACCTTGAGTTGGTAGTGTGTAAGCTTCTGGGGTTGCTTTTTCTGATCTATTTCATCAGCTTCATCAACATGATCATCTGTATCTGGGGTCGAAAGGTTGTTTCTTGTTGTAATCGTGGAGCCGTTAGCAGAGAAAGAGGCCGTAGTGGTGGCGGCTATAGATTGAATGGCTGCTTTCCACTCGGCGTCTCCGTCTTCTTCGCCACTGGTGCTGCTTCCGTCGACGCCGCAATTGGTTGGACTTGGACTCATCGTTAAACCAGCAATCTTCACCGTTGGGAGTTGGTATTGCATTTCCCCTTCATTGGTTGCCATAAAAACCCTTGAAAATTATATGATTTGGCACTGTTCTCTAGTTTTTCTTTAGGCATAATATTAAAATTAACCCTCAACATTTACTAAAATGATTATTTTGATCCTTATTCTTTTTTTAAGTATTTTGGCCCCTATTCTTTTTTTTCAAGTATTTTGGCCCCAACATTTTATTTTGAGGTAAAAAAGGCCCCTCCATGATGAAAAACATTAGTTAATTTGTGATGAATACAAAGTAGTATATGTTCAAAGACTCTTATCATTTGACAATGAACGCTCATACAACTGTAACATATGACAGAGTACTCGAATCCGAGACCTCAATGACAACAATAATCTCTTAACAATTGATATCGCTTGAATCGTGTTTCATACGTTGTTTGTTAGTATCTACATATATTGGAGTTTCCTTCGGAATATGATTGAATTTTCGTAAATTGGGTTGGGAGGATCACCTTCGCCACTGCAGTAACCGATCCGAATTAGTCAATTAATAAATAAAAAACCGATAGTTATACCAAAAGAATGATTAAATTTTCCGTATTGATTGTTGCTTTAATATTAACTTCTACTAGGGAATGATGGTGTCTAAACTGTGGAATGGATTGAAACCTTCATTGAACACTTGCATATTGTATCTTTTATTTGTTACATTGTTCTTGCTACTTGCATGCTTTCAATCCTTTCACGTGAAACACACGATTGATAGATAAATGTGTTGTAAAAATTTATGTGTTGTACTCTGTAAGGTCCAATTAAGATTTCTCTCGATAATGTTGTTATCTGATCATGAACAACAAATCTTTATTAATCTTCACGTGAAAACAAAACGATTTCAAACGCTAAGCTGACAAAATTCAGTGGTTAACAACTAATTTTACTATAGTTAGTTTAGGCGTTTCATCAACAAATATGATATTAATAAGTCTTAGTCGAAGAACAATTCATGCAATCAATCAATCAATCAAATAATCAAGACTCATGCACTTTATTGTAATATGACTATCGACATCGGGTCTAGAATATTACCAATTACTTGTCTTTGAGTAAATTGCCTTGCCATCTCGTATGTTCAATGAACACAGGATTTTATATTAGAGGATGAATTTATAAAATTTAAAAAAGGACAAACTTATAAAATTTAAAGGGACGAAAATATATTCTCAATTGAAAATACGTAGAAAAAATCAAAAGTATATTATAATCTTAAATTTTCGGAGGAGTTATTGTCCTCACCCGCCCCTTTCGGTTCATCCCTGTTTACATCATGATCCATTGCATACTAGATGTACGAAAGATGCTTACACTACCAAGGCTAGGGTTAGTATTGCCATAAGTCAACCTGAAATCCAAATAAAAATGTTTAGATCAATACGAAAGTAAAAAGATCAATCTTATCTCTATATAAAATTCAAATTAGAGACAATGTACATGACTTATCAGCATTCTTCAAGGACCGGCCAATTCTGTTGGTTTGAAAAGGCCTAAGACATGGTTGATGTAATCTTGGGCAGATTGGTTCGTATTCGTCTCGACTCGAAACTCACGGTCCGTGACAGCTGACAATAAGCAATGGTGAAGTGATAGTGATGACACTGACGATGAATGTCTTATAAGTTAGCTTAACTGAATTTCAAATGATTATTCAGATCATATATTAGATTTAATCACATGAACAATAAACTACTTTTTATAAAATTTATATTTATAGAAAAGTTATCTATCATATAATTTTGTGTAGATGGTAGTATTTCTCTATTTCTCAATCAACAATAACATCAACTCCCATCATTTTAACTTATTCCCTTTTCAGAAGTTTCTTTTTCACAAAAGAAGTTCTTTTTTTTTATTATTAATGATTAAGTACAAGACATTATCTGTTCAAAGATAATTCTCGATCATTTGATATTGAAACACTCACACCTCTGATATTCATGGTGGTCGAACCAGAACCTCAAACAATTCCTTTCTACCGAAGTCGTTTGGTTCGTGCCAAAATAAGTTATTTTATTTACAAAGGATACATTTTTAGAAATATTCATTGTACATTTTGATGTTCTATATTAGTAGAGTTTGATGGGTTGGGGAAGATTGAAAACATAGAAAAGTTTCTTCCCTTTACTTGATAAGTTTTGAGAATCAAAGTTAACTCTAAAAACATCATGAAAATGGAAAGGGATAGCATGGAAGCCCATTGCCAGAAAAGGGATTTGCTGAATGGCCTGCATTGATTCAGGGAAATCTTAGAGAATGTGTTCTTCACCATTACACATTCTGTCAAGTTCTGCAGATCAGGATATACATCAAGCAATGACTCAACAGTGTAGCTGTATGCCAATGCTTTGTCTGAAGTATCCTCTGGGATGAACTTCCCATCATCTATGCATGCTTTAGTTGAATTCTCCTTGTAACAGGTAAACCTTGAAATGATCTGACACGTGAGAGTTATGTTTTAATCAAACAATTATAAATAAAATATCCTTGGAAAGAAAATTGTTAGTTGAGTAACGGTCAATACATGCTGCTGACATAACATTTCACATGTGCTTAATTACTAATTTGACATGTACCACATCATCTATAATGATGATGTGGCATTACCACGTCACCTGAGATGATAATGTGGCATTATCACATCATCTAAAATGATGTGGCATATATCACATCATCTAAAATGATGTGGCATATATCACGTCAATAATTAAACACATGTGAAAATGTAATGTCAGCAATATGTGTTAATCGCGAGTCAACTATCGGTTTCCTTCTAATTTGGGGTATTTTCAACGAAAATTGGAATGTTAAGGTATATAATGTTCTAAAAAAATAGGGTTATAGTGACAATTTGTGCAAATGTTGATGAGTAATTTTATCATTATAACTTCAAGATTTTCATGTCTTGAGGCACAAGTAATATTTGCTTACATCTGGTATTTTGCCGATGGGGATGGCATCTTCAGCACATGCTTCAGGTTCATAGCTGTAGCTTGGTGGTCCGGTGAACGGGTCACATATCATCCGAAATCCGCCGAGCATTTCGAAACTTTGTTCGTTGATCCCCATTTTTTCACACACCTCATCTATTTTTGCGTTTAACTACAACATATGGTACAGACTATAGTTTCATATAAAAACCGTGTCATGTCTCACATTTCTGCAATGGATATACTAACCAATTCCGTACCTTGAATATGAAATCGTGGACAGTGGAGCCGATATCAGTCAAAATTTTCCGATTTCGTTGAATTCATGCAGGGTAATATTGAGGTTAAACTGTTGTTGTGTGGTTCTTGCACAAAATCTTCAAAAGTTGAACAAGTATCTTCAGCAAAACTACATGGCAGCAATGGTGAGAGTCTTAAAACATCTTGCGTGGTTTGCAAGGAAATGCAATGCTGGGAAACAAAACGAATTTCGGACCATTTACTTACGTGTGAAGGAAGAAATCGAAACCGGTCAAAACCCAGCACACAACTGTTAAGATCCAGCACAAAAGAATTATACTGAAAATGCAAAGATAAAGCATTTAAACACAAGGCAGAAGGTTCACACACCCTTACAACAGAAGCTAAAGGAAGAATTGGGATATTTCCTTACAAGATAAGTCCAGGGTGCCAATGTAACAGGAGCAGAACTGAGTTAAAGCAGCTATCGATTAGTCGAAATCGAATTAATCGTCGAGAACAGAATTCTCGATTGAATAGGAAGTATTTCTGCTACAAATCTAGTGCAGGAATCAGGCACAACTCACCTAGTGCAGAAACCAACAATAGCAGGTTGACAATGGCAACACCAAGATGTGCTATGTATCTATGAAAACGGAAAACAAAACGAGGACGAATGTAAGATTTGTAGATTCATTGCTGCTCATTAGGCTTCAGTCAACGAATCAGATGCTTACGGAATATGAACTGCCACATCGAGAGAATGCTTATGACCTCTAATGAAATCATGAATCGTTCGTGATTCCTTTCCGAGTCTATGAGTCGTCACATTCAATTTCTCGGACGTGTGTTGATCGTAAGGAAGAAGAAGGTACTGCATTCTTGTCATTGCAGTAATTATTTTTCGGATGGATAGAGCAACATCGAGTCCACCATGGACCAGAGTATTTTTCAGTTCCTTTGTTCTTTGCAGTGAGATCTGGTTTGCTGCAATGACAAAGCTGGCAGCAACTCTTTGGGTTGAATCACATGCAAAAGTATCAATTTTATCAGAACAGTTTCTATAGCTTCGCTTGGGGCAACAAAAGGAATAAGATTGTGCCAATATCACTAATACTCATACATCTGTAACCATTTAGAGCATAAATTTCCCTCTCACCTTTTAACAAAAACCGTAGGGGCGGAACTTGGAGATATACCGTAGTGGTGGAAGTTGGAGATAGAGTTTAGGGGCAACTTAAAACTTCAAAAAAAATTAAAGGTTTAAATTAAAATTTTCAAAAATTTTAAAGAGTTTAGTTTATATTTTTTTCCAAAAAATTGAAGTCTAACTAAAATTTTTAAAAAATTGAGAAGCTTAATGAAAATTTTTAAAACTTATGGAAGGGGTTTAATTAAGAACATTAAAAAATTTTAAAATTAAATATGAATTTGTAAAAATTCTGTGAGTCCCAAATAATTTTTTTTAATTTAAGGATTTAAATTGAAATTTTGAAATTTTTAAGGAGATCATGACCCCAATATCCCCACCAAACAGATATCCAACTTAAATACAGTAACCATTTCATGACAATTTTATGATTAATTACTTATTATTCAATTGCTTTTTAAACCTGGAGTGTACTATACTAAACTGAAATTTATGATCTCCATTCAAACTTTTGGACCTAACGCTACCTTCAAAAACTATAAAAGTTTTCTTTTAGAGAAAAGTTTTCTTTTAGAGATAATTGTATCACATTTTCTCAAAGTATGATCTTTATTTTAGATTAGTCCCTAATCTTTTAAATATTTTAATTTCATCCCTAAATCATGACTATCATTCTAAATTAGTTCTTAAACTTTTTAAAATTTCAATGTCATCCCTAAACTATGACCTTCATTCTAAATTGGTCCCCAAACATTTTGAACATTTCAATTTCTTCCCAAACTATATGTATATATTAACCACATCCCTTGTTAATAAAATCGTTAGGCCAAGTTATATTATTATATGCTTGAAAAAAATTAGGTTAAATTATGGTAAAAACTAATTACATATTTGGCTGAATTTTGGGATAGAATTGGAATATTCAAAAGTTGGGGACCAATTTAAAAAGATGGTCATAGTTTAGGGATGAAATTAGAATGTTCAAAAGCTTAAGGACTAATTTAGAATGTGAGTAATAGTTTAAGGATGTAATTAGAATATTCACAAGTTCAATATCAAATTAAAATGAAGGTTATATAGTTTGAGGACATATAATATAATTAATTTTTTTATTAATTAAAAATATCTTTGAATTATGAGCCCTAGTAAATTTGGAAGGTTATGATTAGGGATGAACCGAAGGTGGAGTAGGTGGTGACAGTTGCCCTTAAAAGTTTTAAATTTTCATATATTTATATTTTTTTATTGATAATCTGATTTTATCCTTAAAATTTTATAAATATGCTCATACTAAAATTTTATAAGTTCACCCCTAAGATAAAATCACACACGTAAATTACACACGTTCTTAAGAAATGGAAGCAAAGACTAATAGAGGAACTTACATGGCGAGCAACGTTAAGAGGAGGAACAATATAAGCAGCAGCAGAAAGTAATTTTCCAAATGGACAGTAAACCAAGAAGAAGAAGATTCGTTGCTCCTTAATGAGTTCTTGAAAATCATGAAAATCCCAAGACATGCTCCACACAATGTCCAAACTCCCGCCATTGCATATCCATGAATTCCTGTAAATGCCGTTGACTGTAACATCATTAAATTCCAAAACACACACACACATATATATTCTCTCTCTCCTACATTGAATAAAATGAAGGGGAAAAACTGGGAACTCACTGCCCGGTAATGCTTGTTGGTGACATTAAAGAACCCTTTGTAGTCCTTCAAATGTCGAAGAGGGTCTGGTCTCTTGATGATACGTTCATGAACAGGTGGTGGTGATCCAAAAACCATCTTCTGTGAAAACATGGACGAGAAAACGAGGAGGAAAACAAGTGAAACAACTGATCTATTTGGTTCGGACATGAAATTATTATCAAGGAAGATGAAGTTTATATCTATCTTTTCTTTTTGAAATTAACTGAAAAGAAAGATGAAGTTTGCATGGAAGATGATTGAAAATGGTGGAGAAGAAGATATATGATAATTTGGTGGGACGTGGGACTTGGAGAGTAAGGTAAGAATCGCTTGTGGTTATTAGTGAAAGGAAAGAACATGTTTAGAGCAACGAATCGAGAGCCGAAACTTGTGCTTCTTTTTTTGACCACTTTTCTGGATTTTACATCTTAATTTACTACACATTTCAGCCTCTTTGCGAAATGTTTTTGCTTTTAATGGCAATAAATTGATGGTAAATTACATAAATGTCTCTCGACTATAGGGTGTTGATTTGTTGAGTCTTTGACTATTAAAGGTTACAAAATTGTCATCTAACTATTAATATGTTCCAAACTCATCCTTTTCTATTCGACCGTTTGAGTAACTGCGTTGACGTTAACCTGTTGACTGAGATGTGATAAAATATGTTCCAAACAATGGTCAATCCAAAAAAAATTACAGGTTGGGCTAATATAAATATAATAAAAAATTATATAACATAATTCATAAATATTTTTAATTTAAAAATATAATAACAGTTATATATATAATTATGTATGGAGGTTGGGCCAATATAAATATAATAATAGTCAGGGGACTCAACAAAATAATATTCTATAGTCAATGGATAATTTTGTAACTTTTAATAGTTTAAGAGTCAACAAAACAACACCATATAGTCGAGGGACCATTTGTATACTTTACACTTAATTAATTTGTGTGTTTATGTTATACTGTCCATGTTATTATGTTAATTTTATTTGGAAATCTAAAATATTCATTAATGGAAAAATTACTTTTTAGCCCCTAAAAGTTCACATTCAATTCAAACTCCTTCAATATATATATATATATATATATATATATATGGTAAACTACATCCGCAATCTCTTCTGTTTTCAATCCATCTTGCTTTGATCAACAACTTTGAGAAAATGTCATTCTAGTAACTTTTGTTTACGATCGTCCTTGTTTTGGTAAATGATCTATTAACTTTCCTTAGTTTGATGATGTGGCAAGCTAATAAAAATATTTAAATTTTAACTTGATCCCTAGATTTTAGACGGAATACTAATTTGACCCTAAACTTTAGATAATATATTGATTCCCATCATAGATCATCGCTGATTGTTGTCATGGATGATCATTGAACGTCAAAATTTTATATTCACACATTTTTAACCTCCTAAATGTGATGTTAGTTTCATTAGAAAATGGCTAAAACTTCACAAATCTAGTTTAGAATCCTTCAAATTCCTTTGAAATAAACCATAATAATAAATTTATCATTATATTCCTTTAAAAATAAGGACACAAAAATCTAATTCGGTATCATAATATGTTTATATTATAATGATACTAATTTAATTAATATAAATTTTAATAATTTATTTATTTATATTTCTATATTTTAATTTTTATATTCAATTTTTTGATAAAATTCTAATATATAATTTATCAAAATCTACTAGTAAAATTAGTATGATTTTATCATATCTCAATTAATATGCTACCGTCCAGCTTAGACGACCACCAATTTTTAACGAAAAAAACGAGTCTGTAAAATACAAATAGTCGAGTGATGATTTTGTAACTTTTAATAGTTAGGGGACTCAACAAAACAATGCCCTATAGTTAGAGAACCATTTTGTAAGTTTTAATAGTCATGAGACTCAATAAAGTGCCCTATAGTTAGAGGATCATTTTATAATTTTTAATAGTCGAGTGATTCAACAAAACAATGGCCTATAATAGGAGGACCAGTTGTGTAGTTTACCCTTTATTAAAACTAATATGTTACTATCTCATTCTTCCATTACTCTTTATTTCTAAAATTCTCAAAAATCTTTAAACTTCTCTCTAATTTCTTCATCATCGTCTCATTTTCTAACTTGATTTTCATTCTTATCTCAAGATTGATGTAAGGTATCATTTTTTATCATCTTAAAGGTTGTTTATGTCTTTTACATAAAGATCGGATCCACCCAAATGAAAGATCCAAATTCGATGAATTTTGTATATGAGATTTTAATTTCTAAATGTATTTTTTGTACTTGATTATTAAATCTTGATTTCTAGTTGATTTTATAATTATTTTTAATGATTTCTAAACTTGATATGAACGATTAAAATGAGAATCAAATAACATATGAAGTGGCCTCAGTGATAAAATGAAATGATATTCTCCCTAGAGGTTTTAGGCTCTAGCAACTGTGTCTACAAAGTGTGCGCTCGTTATCAATAAGTTAAGAAAGTTATGAATATATATTACCTTGTAATCATCCCAAACTATTAAAGAAAAATGAGAATTAAAAGATCTAATTATTTTATTGATTGTTTAGACTGATATTTTAGAAAGGGTAAACTATGCAAATAGTCCCCTATGTTTTTTATCTGACCGAATTTGGCCACCAATTTAAAAATTAAGGGGAAATGGTCCCTAACGTCATCGACCCATTCGATTTTAGTCCCTTAGCCGTTAACTCTCGTTCTATTTTAGTCCCTCAACCATGCTAGGACTTAAACAAAAGGGGGTTAATGGAAAATAATAACAGATGGGCTTAAATTTGACAAACCGATAATGTAAGAGATTATTTACTCTTAATTTTTAAATTAATGACTAAAATTGATCAGACCCTAAACAAAAGGGACTATTCGCATAGTTTACCCTTCTAGAAAATAACTAAAATGTTGATTGTGATGTTGTTGGAGGTAATTAATGTTTATAGATGGTTAATTGGGACCATTATACTATATCTTTATCATTGGATTTGGGAGTTTAATTTCTGTTGTACATGTTTTGAGAGGAATTTCCAGAATGGTGAGCATGGTTTGATTACTGTTTTAAAACACCTTACATGATTTATGTATAGTCCAAAACTTGTACCAGATTGATATGTAAAAGCATTGGTACGAATGTAGAATCTTTCAAGCACTTAAATATCTATGTCTACATGTCATTGTTGTATATTTATTTGTCCGTGTGGATTAAATGACATATATGGATGATATATATATATATATAAAGCTTGAGGTCATATTCAATATATATGAACATGACTTCCCTTTGGTCGCTAATGAAAAGTAATGGAACATAGTTAATAACGAACCTATCGTTATTCTAGATCATGCAGTACGTCGCAAAGACAAGGTACGTCGCAAAAAATTATGTCGGAACGATCCTTAAAATTTTTAGTGCTATGGTGGGGAGCGATCCAACTTAATCGTGGAAAAAATTGGGTTTTAAAATAAATGTAAAAACAAGTAAATTTGGAGTCGCAATCGACCTTTGGGTTAGGTAGGTCGAATACCTAAAAATGCCTTTTAAAATAATTTTAAGAAAAATAATTTTAAAAGATATAAAATGATATGCGTTTAACCAGAAATTCGTTTTGAAAAAGGGTTTGGGAGTCGATTACGTGTGGGGAATGATTAGCACCCCCACGACGTCCGAAATCGGTACCTAAGCGATTATACGTTATCTAAATATTGAAATTGGCAAATTCAAATATACATTTAAATTATGATCATTTTTAGAAAAAAATATAAGGTTTTTTATTTTGTACGAACAATTCTTGAAAATACCTTCCTTGTTAGTTAAGGGAGCATTTTCATAGATTTCCCATATAAAATAATATTGCCCAAATTTTTAGATAAAATACATATATATATATATATATTAAATAAAAAAACAAATTCATTCGAATATATAAAAGGTATTATTTTGTTCGAACAATTCTTGGAAACACACTCCTTGTCAGTTAAGACGCGTTTTTATAAATTTCTCTAGTAAAATAATATTTAAAAAAAATTACAAATAGCAAGAAATTAACAAATAGCAAGAAATTAACAAATATGTAAATGATGGGTCAAAATGCATGATGAACAAATAAATCAATATGAAAATAAATATAAAAATGATATAAACAAAGGTATACGACTCACAAAATATACACATTATGCTTTAATCCAAAACACAAAACAATATATACGTAGGCGTAAAAAATACTTTATAAATGGAAAGAAGGAAAGTTAATCAAAGTTGCGCATATACATGTGAAATCAAGAAAGCATTAATAGGCATAAATATATATGCTATAAATGCGCTAAACATGTTACCATATATATATACACGAACCTATATTCAAAGCAAATTTCCAAACATAAGAAATGGAATTTACTGTATGCATGTATATATAATACATTTAAAAATGACATATAGTAATACATAAAGGACATTAATGAAAATATGTACATATGAAAAATCAAAGTTACAAATTACATCAACTAAATAGGCATATATGAAAAATCAAAGTTACAAATTACATCAACTAAATAGGCATAAATGTAAATTTAGCTCAGAATAAAAATAAAAGCGTAAACAATAGAAGTATGGATGCTGATATCACTAATAATCCATAAATACTAAAGAGGACTAAAATGAAATCATTCAAAATTATATATCAAATGTAAAACAAAAATAAAACAAATGAATAAGTACATAGGACTAAAATATAATGCGGATAAAAAACAAATGCTCGAAGTAAAAGGAATAAAATTTTAGTCGGTGGCTAAATGTAAGGATGCAAAGATAGAGGGACTGAAACTGCTATTAACCCTTTTTCTCAAAACACGCAACTTTACCCTAGGCCAAAACGGCGTCGTTTGGGGGGCTTTAAATACTCATTTATGTGATTTTGGCTTAAAACCCTTCTCTCTCTTCTTTTTTTCTTTTCGGTCGCTCTCCCTTCTTCTCCCTCTCATTTCTTTTTTCTTTTCCGTTTTCTGCACAAAACCCTACGACCACCGCCTCTACCGGCCATGACGATGGGTCGATGACCCCCTAAAACTAAAAACAACCTTTCTAACTCGAAACCGAGACATAAATCACTCGAAATCACATAAACCAACCCCAAAAGTAAAAGAACAATCTACCTTCGATGTTAAACCGACCCTCCTCATCCCCGACAAA